CAAGGCGCGCTTTGGACCTTCCAAGCGCAGCAGGCCTTCAACAGCAAGACGGTTGTGGAGGTCGTAGCTGAGCTCGCATTAAACCCAACAGCCTCAATAGATACAAGTTGTATAGGCAAAAGCTACAGAAAAACACAGATGTTGGTCAAACCTGCCGACCCGAACCCTGCATAATTTCTAGATTGTAGAAACCTAAACCCTGAACTTCGCAGAACTTTAAAGGAGAAGAAGCTTTGGGGCTGGGAGAAGTTAGGATCCGGCGGCTGTACGTCAATTTTAAGGGTTCATGTGTAGGGTTTAGAGGTACCGTTTGGGGCATGCTATCCCCCCCTCCCTCCCTGGGTATAGGCTTTGAGGGTTTAGGGGTTTAGGCGTAGTTGGCTTATGGTTGAGGGGCTTAGATCTTAGGACTTGGGCGTCGCCAAACACCCAATACCCCTTGATTAAGGAAGAGCCTGCAAATCATAGTAGGGAGGTCCGTAAAGGTAAATTCCTTTTGCCAGCTGTATGGCACTCTCTGGGTTTATTCTAATTGTATGCTTATTCGAGATTCCGGGTTTAGGGTTAGGGGTGGTGGTATGGGGCCATTGATTCAGGGGCCTGCTCTTTACCCTACACGCTATTATCCCCATAAATCTTTACACCCATAGACCCTACAGTCTACTGCAAATGTTCCTTTGCATCCAGTACGGCTCACGTCCTGCACATGGGCTTGCGGTTCTGTCTCTGTTATCGAACAGTTTTCATTCAAAAGACTGTTAGAACACCCCCGGCTACGTTGTCCTCGAAAATACGCGACCGTAGCCATCAGCTACGGGTCAATAGAAAGCCCATGTAAGCTCACAGGTCTTAAACTTCCCTAGCTCCGCATGATGAAGCCCTGAACCCTAAACCCTAGATCCTGAAGCCCAAACTTTAAACACTGATTCGAACAGTCTATTGGGACATGCTACACCTGACAAGGTTTTCGTATGTTTTTTGCATGTCGTGCCAGCTCTTTATCGTTGAAAAAACATTGCCTCACCAACTGTTTGCCAACATCAAAAGCAATCATAAGACCATCCTCTCAAAGGTACCCCCCCTCAGGGTTTGAGGTACTATACAGAATTCATTCCGGCCTAATAGGATCCTAAATCTGCCCTAATTGCCAAAACCTTAAACCCCTAGGCCCTCGACCCTGAACCGCTAAGCTTGACAAGCAGCCAACCCCAATGCACTCAGGAGGAGCCTTCAACTCTCGTGGGAAGCTCAGACCCTGCCTCGCGGGGAGTTTTTCGGGTTCAGGGTTTGGGGGTTTAGGGTTCCGGGTTTACAGTTTAGGGTTTGATATAGCGCTGAACCAGATACGGTCATGCCGCAGATTCGCTTCGAACGTGGCGTCCGTGCCACATGCTGCTTTGCCCTGACCGCGGCTGGTCATCTAACACATTTGCCCACCCCAAGCCGTCCCAGGCGGCCAAATCTCCCAAACCTATTCCGATTAGGTTTTGGGACCTAAACTCAATTAGGTGCTTCTTGCCTCGAAAATCCAAGATTTGTGACAGGCCCATAAAACCTGAAGGTGCTGGTGGTGAGCTGAGACCTCCTGAAAGACCCTAAAGCTTGGCCTCTCTCAAACTGTTGGTTTTTTAGAAAGGCTCTGGGAGGCCTGGCAGTCACTTGGGAACTGGAGCCCCTTCAAGCGTCTGGGTTTGTCCCTGGAGGCGTTTTTGGTGTTTTTGTGGATAGATCTGCGCTGTCCTTCTCCAGAAAGACCCCAGGAGGCGGGTCGTAGCATGGTTTGGATTTCTGTGGGCGCTACCATACTCTTGGCTGACTGAAGCGCTATCGATATCCAGGGGGCATGGCCCGCCCACCATCATAGGTGGGCGGCCGAAGCCATGAGTTCAGGATTTAGGGTTTAGAGCTTTGACGTTTAGAGTTCATATGTCAGCGTGATGTAGAAGCCCGAATAGCCGAATAGCAGTGACCAATCTATTTCTGGGATGGTAGACCCCAGAACCCCTTTCTGGCAATTTAGGCTTTACACTACACTACACCAGCTATTACCGATATAAACTCCATCCTGCCCCCTACATACTCCCGATTAGATCCCCTGTATACGCCCAGTATAATAGCCCCTATCGGATCCCCATAAATTGATGACAAGCTGCATGTTCAGGGAAGTTAGCTTTTCATTGCGGAGCTCTTCTAGGGATCGCTTTGCGAGGGTTCAGTAGGCAGGTTTTCGACTTGGATTTAAGGTTCGGGGTTCAGGGAATTTCGGGACTTGGGTCTTTTATTACTTGTTCTGAGTCCTTACATATCCCCAGTTTCCATTTCATGTTCCATGTTGGATTCAGTTTGACTCTCCGTTGGTACCCCCGGATTACGATCCTGATTCGCATCTTTAGCCTGCAACCCTCTCCAATCACCGTAACTGAGCAGGTATAGCACTCATGAATCATGACCTGGAATGTACCTTGGGCACACTAAATGCCTCCATTCTCGAGTTAGGCAACGAAGTCTGCATAGTATCCTTCCAGTCCGAAACATGAAGTGAAGGTTGCCATAATTAGTTCTATACCTGGAGGTTCATGGGATGTCCTGTGAGCCTTCAAATGGGGATTTCCCTAAAGGCAGAAGCAAGAAGCCCCTGATTTTGAGAAACTCTTAACCTTCCATGTCCCTTTATATCTACACACCCTTCCTTGACATTTTCAGGAAATTGTCAATCCTGGCAACCCCCCAGCACCCTTAAACCTTGAAACCTAAACTCTAACACCAAAACCTTAGAATCTAGATCCCCAAAAGCCTGAAACCCTACAACACTGAAACGCGAAACCCGAAAACCTCAACTCAAGTCGTCCTCAGGTCAAAATGGTCGCTGGCCATCCCCTGCTTGTCTGCTTCCTGCTTGCGGCCAGCTGGGTTGCAAAACTGTTCGTATGAGTTGCCGACAAGGGCTTAGGATTTGGGGTTAGGGTTTCAGAGTTTTAGGCTTCAGGTTCTAGGATTCAGGTCTTAAGGTCTTAGTGGGATAGTATTGCTTTTGGGTTGTATATTCCTTGTTGGCTTTGAATATAGCCAACATTGAAAACATCCCAGCATGCTATTGATATTGCAGCTATGCGTTGCAAATCCCGGCCTTAGCCATTTAAATCATTAAATACTCTGACTATACTATTATTGACCGCTCCCCCCTCTTCTAATATTAGATGTGTTTTACATTATATAAGACATCAGTATGCAGGGATTGCTCAACCCTGCATCCTAGCCCTTGCACCCGGCAAAACAGTTGCAATATCTGGAATCCTACAACACTTGAACAGTTGCCCACACAATTCAGGGAACAGACCCTAGCCAAAATCTCTGAGTCATGCAGAGCAACCATAGCGCTTTGTTTCCTGATTTTCGCGCACGTGCAGGCAATCACCGGAGCTTTCGCATGCACTGAAGTCAGCCAGGCGAGGCACGGATAGACATACTGCAATTGTAGGATATGTAAGGCCCCGAGTAGAGATGTCACTATTGCCACTCATTCAGTTGTGTGCAGATGGTTTGTGGGAAGTGTGAAAGAACCATAAGTATTGACTGCCGCATAATTTTCGGGACCCTGAATCTCTGGGAAACCAGCATGTGCCTACATCTTGGAAGTATTGTCAGCCCTTGGTTTCCTAGCGCAGGCGCCGGGAAGGTTCGACCCATACCTTGGCACATACCCAACTGCAAGGTTTTTAAAAATATTGTGATCATCGATACCCTGTATACTCATGTCATGAGGTACCTGAAATGGACCTCAACAGATGCTGGTAATTCTTCATCGTAATGCTTAGAAACACCTACATAAACCCAGTTACTATGTCATACTGTGTCATGTTCAACGTTCTTTTCCTTTGGTTTGCAGTTGTTTGTAGGTATCTCGAATCCTGTAGTACTTGGTTGCCATCAAGTCTGTTGTTTCAGGCAACGCCCCAGGGCCCTCCAGAGAAGCGTGCAGACTACAACACTTTCTTGCGCCTGCGCCAATGATTGGGGTTGGGGGTGCATGTGCAAGACGTGTGGGGCTTTCAACCCTAAACCTGATCCCTCACTAGGCCCGTCATGTTTGTTGGCTGTCTGCTTTGACAAAGTTTATCATTCTCGGCATTGATAACGTCCGTCTCGGGCATTGAATTAAATGTCGACGCCAAAATCACGGTCAACATCCTTCATACATAACCCTTATATAATTACAGCATAAAGTACAATGAAACCCCAATTCAATTGAATAGGGCCCCCGCGTGACTAGCTTTACATATGAGGGTGCATGGTTTTGGATCTGGCGGTTTGGGTGTGAGGTGGGGCCATTGTAGTCGTAATTGGAACTACTAGCAAAAGCAGCAGCAATAACAAGTGTAACACTTCTTCTTCGTTATGGCGAGATCCTACATCAGTATTCTGTTTGTAGTTTCTTGTCTTATTGCTTCACTGTCATTCCCTTCACAGTAGGAGTCCTAGGGGCCATAATATCTCCTATTACGCCTTGTGGTGGCTGTTTTGCAAGAGTGAAGTCCCATCCCCAAACCCTAAACCCCAAATGGCAGTTTCCATTACATTGTGCATGTTCTTTTCCACTTTAGTCTCAACTATTCATTTGGAACCTACATGTTGTATTGTCCTCCAAGCCCTAAACCATAGACCCTGAGCCCTAAGCCTTCACCCATGTTCTTAGGAGAGAGTGTGGGAGCTGAAAATCCCAGGATGATGCAGAACATCCTCTGCTTTGCGTCTGGCTTCGTCAACGCAGGGCTCCAAGTTAGGAGGTTTAGGGTTTAGGGATTAGCGGGTTCAGTGATTAGTGGAGTGTATATAGGGGGCTATAGAGGGGATCATGGATGGTCCTGTGAATCCCCTCACCTCTGCAGAATCACAAGATTTGTTTCAAACCAAATTCGGATCTTCCAAAGAACGCGCAATTTAGGGGGACAACTCTACTCCTGAGTTCTTGGCCGGATCATGAGGCCCTGACCATCATTGACATGGGCATGACCGTCTCCCACCAGACTGGCAACACAAGCCACACAGGACAGAAGGCATTGCGAGTTGCTGCCCTTCTCGGAACAAGGTGCGTTTCTACGTGTCTTTGTTTTCTGGGGTTATATTCTGATTAAGATTTTCGTAGTATAGTTATTACGATATAAAAAATTGTACATGGCATTTGTGTTAACAACAGTCATGTGCAAAAGATGGCAACACTGGTAGTACTCATTGTCCGCAGGACGGCTCATTATGAACGGCGGCGCCAAGTTCTTTCACCTGATGGCGGCGTTCGCGTGCGGAAGCTTCGTGGCAGGTGCGGCAGAAGGGGAGATTTGGCAAATTCGGGGTGCTCAAGCCTTGAGACTTGATTCACAATATGCGGGTTGCCAGTAATCCACCTCTCCACAGACTGAGTTACATTCTTTAACACGGGTGTATGGCAACATCGGGCTACCCATGTACCCGGCAAGACAAAGGTTTGCAACACGTCCCACAAGGAGCCTCATGGTATAGCCATGCACCTCATGGGACGTTGTTTTTGCGCATGCAGAAATCAGCTTCGACTGTAGGACAGATCATGCAAGCCCATGACTGCATTGTTTCTTGAAAGACTCCCCTTTGATTGTGAGAGCCTTTTTGAGTTGATTGCTGCAGTCAGTAGGAGTACCCTAACAGCCTCCCTGTGAAAGGAATGTGGGGATGGTGAATACTTTCCAAAAAGGGATCCCTATAGTTGTGCAACCTTCTAGGACCCCTCAGCTTTTTGAAGCTATCATGTCACTACCATCAATGGAGATCCTTGTAGCTAATGGGGTGCAGCAATGTGAGGATGACAGAAGGGTTCCTGCAGGTTCCCTCCCAACAACTCTGAACATTCTGGGGTGACAGACTCCTCCTCTTCCTCTCTGTGCCTGTGGCGCCTAAAGACTTCCCACTATGATTTAGAGGCCTATTTGATGTACTCTATACCTATACCATACGCAATCATGTACGGAATCCAGAACTATAATATCCGTAACTGAACTGTTTTGACCCCTATAGTAACACATGCGCAGGCTACAGCAAGTCTGACGGCGAGGCAGTGTGACATGGATGAGGTTGGGAACTGCTCTCTGCTTTCGATGTATGAGCCCCAGTGAAGGACACAAGAAACCTACATGTACCAAGCTTTTTTCACGGATAGCAAAAGTTGTTCATGCTAAACTGCTAAGCATACTACCTCGAGGTCCAAGAGTAATTGTTGCCCAAGTAGAATTGTAGCTTTAACCCAGTTGTAACCATAGCAGGGGACTTAGAGGCCTTAAGAGTGGATTGCAAGTACAGCTAAAGGAGGGTTCAACTTGACCCGGACCTCCAAGTAGTGGAATGCCAACGGCATCACAAGGCCCAGTCCTTCACACCAAAGATGTTCGGCTTTTGCCATCCCTGACCGTGGGCTTCTAAGTCTACACATAATCCCTACATTGGGCCCCAAAGTCTGTAAATAACACTAGTGAGATTTTCCACTAGTGACTAATGGGGTTTCCACGTTTGGCTATCAGTGGGGTTCTGAACTAGTGGCTAGAGAGTGGATCTCTTCCTATTAGTGGCTACTGGGATTTTTCATGAGCCCGTTGGATTTCCCCACTAGCCATAGTGGCTGATGGTAATGTGATTTTCCACTAGTGGCTAGTGGGATTTCTCACTGGTGAGCCTCAAGGTAGGCCCTAGACCGTGTGAATAGCTCAGCTCAGTCAAATCACTGTTTGCAGAAGAGGCTGCTAGTCATGACGGCCTCCGGTGCAAACAAATCAAGAAGCCAGGCAGCGAAAACCTGCGTTACGCTCAAGAAATATCTTAGAGTGTCTTATGCTTACTTTTATAGACACCAAGTAACTAGTCCTAGTGTTTCGTGATGTACAAAGCAGCCTGTGCATTTCCTGACCAAGAACTATACCGTAAGGTTTAGGGCTTTCGGATGACGAAGCCCAAAGGTCAACGTAAGCCAAAATACCGGGGCACCAAATACCCTCATGCCTGGACCCCAACCCGAAACCCTCACCCCCTAAACCCAATTGAATTCTAAACCCTCTATAGACCCCCCTCACACCCCTAAGCACCCCCAAACCCTAATCCCTATAACGCCCAAGCCAAGGTACCAAGGCCGCTATTCCCCAAACATGCTGGCCTCTGCCCTGTGCGCAGCTCGCCTCCCATAAAGCGAGCATGCTGTAGGGGATTTTAGAGTTCAGGGTCAAGGGTTTGGAGGTTCAGGATTTGGGGTTCGGGGTTTCGCATGTAGGGCTTGTTGGGTGCGAGGATTTCTTTTCAGAGGGCAAGCAAGTTCTAGGCACTACAGGGACTTGCTGGCTTTGGCCTCGAAGATGAACTGCTCTTGGGCCTTGGCTAAGGTTTAAGGATTTAGGGCTTTAGGGTTTAGGACCTAAGCCCCAGACCCCGGTATCTTCACAGGATGTCGGATAATTTTCGAGCTTAGGGAGACCCATGATAGAAGCCAAATGAGGTATTGTACCAGGGTTCAGGGATGTTTCCCCGATGACGGAGAATCCAATGGAAAAGAAATTGAACCTGAAATGGAAGCTGAGCTCTTATAGGGGTTACATAGAGGTAAATACCCATATTCTGGTCCCAGGTTCCTTGTATAATGATGGTATTGGGCGCCTCCAGTAAACCTCGAAATGATTTTGATAATTATTGAGGGCCCTGTAGTACATAAGGGCCATGTTCCTGGCCTGGTCAATCTTTTGATGATGTGGGAAGGGAGCTTGCAAGTTGTAGATCTTCAGGTACGAGGCGATACAGCAATCCCCCGCCATGAGCAGAAAGAGCCCCATCAGGCATCAAGGATGATTGTCTCGTCCGGCGCAACTCTTTTATGGGATCTGCGCGTGGCATCAGAGTAACCCTTAAACCCTAAGCCCGAAACCCTGGTTCCAAGACCCTTCTCAACATAAGAGCCTGTGTGTGAAGGTGGTCGGCGGCTGCATCGTCCACTACTGCAAGGCCAATCAGCCGCATCGTCCCCAAAAGGATTCTGTTTCCTGCACAAATCCGTTCAAACACCTTAGATATCCGTACGTAACCCCACATATCCAGGTGAAAATATCCCTATATGCAGCTCACCAATCCCAACCCTCGAAAGAGAAGAAGAAGGCTATCAGCAGGCTTCCAGGCTTGCTCCTGCTTTGGAACCAGACCCCATAAAAGCCGTAGACACTGTGGATGAAGGAAATCTTGCATAACCTCATATACCACGTGACGCAAAAAAAATCGGTATTTTGAGGGTTCTATGTGTTGCAAGATTTCCTGCATCCACCGTAGGGATAGAAGGGGTGTCTCAAAAGTGCGGACATGGTTGCCCTCAAATCCTTCCTTCCCTGTATGACAAGAGCCGCCCTCGCCATCCCAACAAAACGAGTGGGACCCTCTTACACCACAACTTGCATCTTGAGACCATTAAGGTGAGAGCACTGTGCTTCCTTAGTTCGGATGCAAAACACCCATGAAAACAATCACGTTAAGAAACAGGTTCTTGAGCAACCCGGATAGTACAACCTGCAAGAGGAATGTTCAGCGGTTTGGCTTTAAAGATCAACGCGCTTGCAAGGAAACCAAATCTGAAATGACGTCCCCAGTACTATAAGATCGTCTACCTACACTCTCGCTGCCTTTGAGCTCTTTCTACCCTAAATCCTAAACCCAAAGCCCTGAACTCTAAATCCCAAACCCCATGTGCAGCGTTGCCCCTGCCTTGAAAATTTGTGAGGCCCAGGAGGGTGGCAACGACGCCGCCTCGGAGTCGCTGCTGCTTTTTGCATTCTCCCAGGCTCTCCAGGGATTAGGGTTTCGGGTTTAGGGTTTAGCAGTTGAAAGGCTCAGGGTTTAGGGACTAGGGTCTAGGGAGTAGCTAGTATGGGATGATTTAGGGAGATGTAAGAGGGAGGGTTTTTTTAGGAACATACAAGGAGTATCGTGGTCGCATAGGGTTATTGCATCCTCCTAGGCAAGGGAGGAAGCCGCGTCTTAGGGTTTTGAAAATACAGACTAAGGATCAAAGTTTACGGTGTAGAGTTGAGGCTTTCGTTTAGTGCTGAGGATTTAGTGTTTTGGATTTAGGGTTTAGGATCTAGGGTTCAGGGTTGAAGGCTTTGGGTGTGGGGCTCAGGGGCTTCAATAGTTGAGGCAATGAAAAATCAAATGGAAAGGACAAGAAAGGCTAACGAAGATGTGTTTAGAGGGGGGGGTGGAAATGATTGTGATGTAAGGCCCTATTCAGTTTGAATAGGTTTTGGGTGGTAAATGAAACTAAAGTTTTACGAGGCCTCTGAGGAAGAATGCTAGTAGATGTCCAGGATGCTACGTTGATTAAAGAGTGCTCGCACAATTGGGTGTCCACTAGTACTGGGTCTTACCCGTGCGAATTCAGGGTGTGCGGACGGACTGTGAGGATGCAGCGAGGTTAAGAAGAGCCGGCTTTGGTGCAGGGTTTAGGATTCAGGGTTTATCGGCATAAGTTTAGCTTCTAAGATTCGATTCTGAGGATTCACATGAGCAACTGTCCATGTTGGCATTAAGGGACCCTTCACAGTGGACATCGGGGTCCCTCGTGTAATTTGGTTTAGTATAGATAAGGAACCCCTGTCCATTGACTTGTGTAGGGAATATTGACTGTGGCTCACATAGGTACTGGAATCGAAAATGGAAACTAGTGATTCCCATATAGTCCCCTCGTATTCTCCCTCTAGCCTAGCCCAAAACCCCAAGCGCTAAACCCCCAAACCCTAAACCCTTAAATGGCAGATCTTAGCCTGCTTAACTGGCCCCAGCCAGGGCATCCAGAACGGCGTCACTCGAAGGCCGCTGCCTCAGATGTTTGTTGGGGTCTCTTGGGCCGAGGTCAAGGGTCACAGTTATGTGCAAGGTGGATCGTTTTATGCCAAGACTTCGGAATGCGGCAGCCATGCCTCAAGAAGGCAAAGGTGGGATGATCGGAAGGCTTTCGAGACACATGTCATCGCGACCCGGACTTTTGGAATGCGAAACTTGTCAGGGAGTCTTCGCGCAGCCTAGGAGGCCATCTTCGACCTATGTATTGCCCAGATATTTCATTCTGATGAGCGTTGCTTTTTGGCCTCATATTGCAATGGTCGTAGAACACAATACAGGCACAAATGTTGATCCTCAAAGTATGCCATTGTTCTAGACCCTAGACCCCAAAATGCCACTGGGGGCGGCCCTCAACCCTGAACCTTAAACAGGAGTCTAACCTGAATGATACCAGCTGCAGAACCCCAATCTGGGTTGTTGAAGGAACTTAAGGTAAGTTATTGTAATATGGGTATATAGTAAATACTATGGCTTCCTTTACATGGTAAATCAAGTTCCTCAGTAAAAAAATCCTGTTGTATACTATATGCCCATATTATGGTAACTGAATTAAAGATCTTTACAGCAGCCTAGCTAATGCTACCCATTCGGCCAGCGCTGGTCTGGAGGCTCTTGAGGCGAAACCTACTGGGTTGTTGTTAAGGAGCTCAATATAAGTTACCATGTTGTGGGTATATAGCAAAAACACCGGGGTTTCGTTATTATAGTAACTTACTTCCCCACATTCTTTGCGGAGTTCTTACTTCTACTGCGTCGTCCGCTCCTTGTGCGGGTCATCACCACATAGCGCCTGATCGCCCGCCGTCCCCAACTTGGGTACTCGCCCTGTAAACTCCTCTTCGCCTCGAGAACCGGCCGCTGACCCTCAGACCCTCGCCTTCACAAACTTCTCTTACAGACCCTCCCGGCGCCATCTCGGGTACCGGACCGCCTTGCACTTCTTGATGCATGACTGTTCTGCTTGCGTTGGTTAAGTTTGTGCTTCCCTCTTCAGTTTCGCACAATAGGTTTCCTGATTGGCGTGGCGCACCGAGTAAGCAGGCTCGCGATTTTAGAGCCTGCCAGATCAGCGGTGTTAAGTCGGGCATGCTTCTGTGATTGGTCCGAGCCTCGGCGGTTCGGCAAGCCACACTTGCGCCATAGCGTGGTTCACCTATACCTAGTGTTCGGAAGAGGGGCTTAAAAGGGAGGGGAGGGCGGAGAGGCCGGAACCCCCCCCCCCATCCAAAACACCCTCCGCCCCTTGTCCCTCCCCTCGTGTTCCGACCTTCACTGTAATACACTGCGATTCCTTGTCCTCGTACAACTCACCCTTTCTTGTTGTCTCCTATTGCCGTCCCTTCTTCTCGTCCCTTCTTCTACGCATGTTATCCGGTCATTCAATTGTAATTCCTTAGCAGCAACCCAGCCTAACCACCACTCCCAAACTGCCCTACTCATTTAGGCTGATTTGGTGGTTACCCAAAGTTGGGTGTTCCCTTTTTGGGGGGTCCATAATGATGGTACGGACTAGTGAGTGTCCCTTTTTTGGAAACTACCATTAAGGCGGTGAACCGTTAGGGCCTTAGGGCCTGGGTGGGAAGACTGGTTAGCAGAATCCATAACTCCCGAGGTGCACCTCCTGCCCCATTTGCACCACTCACTTCACCGGCTACCTCACGGACTTTGGTGTCGGTCTTGGTGCTTGGGCACGCGCGCAGGCCGGGACAGGGATGCTCATCGGGATGCTTGAGGTGAGGGTTGTTCTAAAGGTCCTTTTGGAGTGGAGGGACCGTTGAGAATACCTTTCCTCAAAGGGGGGTCCCCACCAAAAAGAGTAGATACCTTAGAGCAATGTTGGGGACAGGCATTTGCCGCTTGGGTTCGGCGCACGCTCTGTTCTCACAATGCGTTGATCCAGGTTTGGAATTTAGCATCAGGTGTTAAGAGTCGGGTTTGCAGTTTCAGTGCAGCTTTGGCATACTGTATGTAGTAGTAGAATGCCCAAGGCACAGGTTGCTTACGGTCATGTGGGATGTCGAGCAGCAACTGCAGGGCCTATACCGCAATCGAACTTTCAGGCTGAATCAGGCATCACGCCTCTTGTTGAGACCCGCGTGCTTCAGGGGGAGAAGTTCAAGCAGAGAGGATACAAAGACTTCCGGTCAGCAGCTTGCGCCAAATGAAGTCAAGCTTACCTTCCGCAATGAAAGTGCCAGCAAGACTGCAAACCCAATGTTCCATCAGAACAACATGCAAGTGCATGTTTCTAGCAAGGCAAAAGACTTATTGGTGGTTAGATAGGGAAGATACTATAAAGAAAAGAATACGGATTACAAGCATTTATTCCCTACTAACCACGAGTCAGAATAGAAAGATTGATCCAAGAATACTATGATGGGTAACATAGGGACTACTCCTTCCTAAGCCCTAAACCCTAGACTCAACCCTAAATGGGTTGCTATAAAGATCCATATCTATAAGGATCCATTCCTTCATTCCTAGCTAACCAAAGGCCAGAAGAGCATAGGACTTGAAGGCTGGAATGCTACCTAACGTAGAGGCCTAGATAAATGCGGACGGACAACCAGATGGAAAGTTTCGGTTTAGGGTTATGGGGTTAATTTTTATTAGGGTTTAGGGTGGAAAATCAAACTGAAGCTGGGGTTGCATAGTGCCATATAGGATGTCAAGCCTAAAGAATCACCAGTATAATGGTCCTTGATCCCTTGCATAATTATAGTACAAGGTGCCTCATGCGGACCTTAACATTCTATAGGTAGTTATTTACATGATTCATATATCATCCCTCTGTAAACCCCAGTTTCCATTTCATTTTCGATGTTCTTTTCCGTGCGATTCTCCGTTATCGGTCAGTATTTAGGCCCCTACGCCCTAAACCCTAATCCTCTCAAGAATCTCAGCCCGTTAAGCTCTTACACCTGCAATTTCCAGTACGAAAATTAGACTTCTGTCATCTCTCCTAAGAACCAGCTGAAGCTAGTATTCCTTCCAGAGCTTCAGGGAACTTAGAGACACGCCTACCGCCTACTACCTTTCTCCGCATGGCTGCAGGTTAGCAGCGAGCCTTCCCCGACCCTGCTGAAGGCCACACCTATGCCACCGGCTTTACGGTTTAGGGGTTCAGTGTACAGGGTTTAGGGGCTCAGTGTTTAGGATTTAGGGGGACTTATAAGTAAGGTTATAAGCCCAGTTTACAAGTAGTCACTGAACCTCCAAGTAGAGGGCTCAGTCTCTAAGATCTACTTGTGAGCTAAGGTGCAGGTCTCGAAAACGGTCCAAGATTTTTTGAGTTTCAAACCAGTTGGAAAGCATGGTATGAATCTTTCTACGGGCTTATAGTAGTACTCGAAGTAACACGACAGGTGGACATGGAAATATTTTCAATAACAGTAAGTGTGGTAACAAGCCCCATAACAGCGAAGGTCACAATGGTAATCACGGTGATAGTTGTTAACGTACCAAAGTAAACTGACAAGTCGGAAGGGTCATCTCTCTTAAATCTCAGCTTCCATTGGAGTCTCCATGTTCTTCCTCGTTGCTCAGTTTCCATGTCATGTGCCATGTTTGTTGAATGTGGTTTTACATTCATGTGGTAACTGTCTCAACCTTGAGCCACAACACACAGCGATTTCAAATTGCATCGGTTTTTACCACCGGCCATTATTTCGGCAGTGGGCTTATGGGATTGAGTCAAGGGATTCTAGTTGCTCGTCATGAACCCCCAATACACAGGCTGAAATAAGTCTTGGGAGGGTTCCAGGACACCCCAGCAAAAAACTGGACTTCGCAACCTTTAATGCGAAGCCAAGAGTCGTCGAGAGCCTCAGGCGCTCGCCTGGGGCCGTTGTGGTCCATGAGTGCTTGGTGGATCAGTGGAAGTTGGTGATGTAACCTACTTCTAAAAATGGTTTAGGGTGATGTGGGTCCCCCTATTCAAGAAACCCGCCATGTAGCTTCTTGTAAAAGTATAATCCAAGTGTAAGCGTGATAAGCGCGTTTTAGCGAGCAACAGTTAGTCTAGTGCCGTAACCAAAAAATGCCAAACCCTGAACCCCAAACCGTAAACCCATACCAAAACCCCAAACTCTACTTTGGTTCTAAGTAGGTGCTGCTCTTCGGCTCGGGCACCTTCTTCTTCGGCCTTGGCGGAGTGGCGGCCAAGGAGACGTACCCCATCTACGGAGTGCAGGCAGAGCTTAGATTTAGGGTTTAGGGTTTAGGGGCTCTGTTTGGGGTTTTGTGTTTAGATGCTACATAGCAGCTTCTCAGCCCAGAGTAGGTACAATTCAAACAGACTCAGGGGTCCAGGAATGGAGCAGGGAATGAGTTAACATGTTGGGCAGGGGATGAACGAAAGGGTTCTGAAGTTCGTAGCCTTTTGAGGCTCTCCCCAGTATTTGACGTACCTCTGGAATCCCTACAGGTAGGACTCTATCATTTTGGGGTCTTAAACCCAGGATTGCAAGTCCTGAGCCCGAAGCTGTGAAACCCTTGAGAGAGAGGCTGCACTGATCCCGGCCGCCATCATGGCAGCGGTTGCCGGAGGGCTGCGCCTTGGACTGATGGTGGAGAAGAGGGTCCAGGGAGTACGGTTTAGGGTTGAAGATTCGGGGTTCAAGCTCCACGCTGGCATAAAACCTAAATTCAAGAGGTATGCATTATAGGTGGCGCCCAGAAATAATGACGGTCCTCTTATATTCCGATTACACCACTAGTACAGGGCGGGGGTCAACCTAAGATGTATGCAGCTGTCTGGTGGAGCTTTGGTCTTTCGATGTGCAGCGTTGTAGTGCTACAGACAACCCTGAAGCCAACAACCCCCAACCGTTTACTGGTTATACATGGTTTGGGGTTTAGTAACGATCATAGAGCTACAGTGGTAGTAGCAGTAGCAATCATGCGTACACGCCCGGGTAATTGCGATTAGTTTAACGTGTAACAATTTGAATGGTAGTGATGCTGATCACAAATAACCCCTGTATAACTCCTATATATCCTTATGTAACCCCTTTGAAGGGACCTTACATGAGGTATAAAGCTTGCTTGCAGGTTCATGGGACTTGGCCACAAGGGATCTCACGCAAGGTCTAAAGCTTAGGGTTGCCCTTCTCTGAGGATTCCTGTCATGAAAGTGCCAAAGGCGAAGGCGTAAACGGGCGAGTGGCTTGGACGACACTGTGTAGGGTTTAGGTTTAGGTTTTAGGGAACAGGATTTCGGGCTGAGGGGCGAGGCCTGAATAGCCATGGTTTTCCACAACCCTTATGTAATCATAGTATAATGTGAGCCGAAACTCTATTCTAATGGAATACCCTCCCCCAAACTTACATTGAGGCTCAAAATGGGCCCTATTTAGACTACTGTCCTTTAAAAGACGGGGGCTAGATGGGGCTCCATGTTTGTTTGGACCGTACATAAGGATGAGCCTGGTGAGAGATGTGTATTTCTCTCGGGAGGTTATTGACCCGATCCCGGGAACCCCAACTAACGGCAGAGCATGCTTGCAATGACACCTGTGCAATGGGCGTGAATTCAGGATTCAGTGATTTCCGAACATTGGGACCCGCTTTGAGGCAGCACGTAACAGTCTTAGTTGTGACGTGCTGCTCCAGGTGAAGACTGAAGACGCTGGGATAATTTTCCGGAGTTTTAAGCCTCCTGATCACCAGGAAGCTCGAAAGATCTCCATGCCGGCAGGGTGCGGAGATCTGGGTACTGGCAGCAAAGCTTGCGCCCATACTGTGCCATCCAGGCAGCTTGAAAAGCGTGCATCACAAATGCAGACAGGCTGTAAGTCATACCGGAAGCGACGTGAGTAGTATCATGGGGTTGAGCATTGTGCGAGGCTAGACGAGTTTTCACACCTTAAACCAGCCACAATGGAACAGTGGGTGCAACAGTTATCCCAGCGGCCAGGCGCTCCTCACCCCGCTAGAATTCCCTTATTGTAGCCAACTTCGGGCTTCCAACTATAACTCGCGGGGTCCACACCTGGTTGAAGAGTACAGTCAACTAGACCATTGAAACAGCTCCTAGATTTCAGAAGCGTGTCTCAGCTCAGCCTACCAAAGTACGAAGTGCGCAGACACCTCTTATACCTCCACAACACACCTGACCCTAAACCCTAACCCCTAGCCCCTTACCAACTCACACTTCAAATTCTGAAACGCCGCCGCATTTCTCAGGAAAGCCTGTTTTAGTTCCAGTCGTGCCGCTATACCACCCTTCACCCAAAAGCCATGGCTGTGATGTCGATGCCCCTGCGTCGCCGGGCCCCACGTCTGGCATTAGCCGGTTGAATTGATTTGGGTTTGGGGGGTTGGGGCTTATACAGGAGGTCTATCCGAGTAAAATAAGTTCTGGGATGCTTATCTTACGTTTTAGATACAAGGATTGTACAGGAACAATCTGGAAAGCAGGCTTCTACGCTATGAATTATATAGCGCGTTCCACAAATCACTGGCCCCAATTTAGACCCCGGTGTAAGAATGGGGCCCTAGCTTTCACAAACTTTAAACCCTAAATAGTAGCTTCCAGTCAATTGTTCTTTCCCATAAGCCCATACCCCCAAAGTCCCCCCAAAATTCCATTAGATCCCATACGGAGTCTACTCTATGCCAACCATCATAGGCCATGCGTTGTAGCCCTAAATCCGAAGCCTCTTCTTTTTTGTTTTCTCTTCGACGGCCTTTCAGTCTGCTACTTTGCCCATGTTCTGACGACTGTGCGTTTATCGGATAGCCTAAATATTTTTGGCGTTTATATATACATAACTTCATGTGTATATATATATATACACATACATACATACATACATACATACATACATACACGTGCATGCCGATCTATACATCGCCATATGACTGCGATTCGGAGCCCTGAATGTTCAGCAGTGAGGTTCGAGCCACCCTCCTGATGGCCCTTGGCGTGTGCATCTTGGGGCACATTAGATAGTTGGGATTCATGGCTTTGATTGGCTTTGGGACCTTCGGATGTTCCGATCGCTCTAAACCCTAAACCCTGAAGCCCAGACCGCGTAGGGTCTGCGGCTTGGAGTTTGGGAGTTTAGGGTTCGGAGTTGCACATCCCCTACCTCACTCCGAGCGTACACAAGGACCTCCCAAAACAGCTCACCAAACCTAATCCCTAGATCCCAATCAAGACCCCGCAACCCTAAATCCCATAGGTTCGGGTTCTTAGTGGGGCTTGAGTGGGGCCTCATCTTGACGGGAGCCATGCGTCCACGATTCGCGACAGAAATCTGCGTCCGCAAGTCCAAGTCTGCAATCCGTGTCTGCGCGTGCGCGTGCGCGTCCGCGTTCGCGTCCACACGTCCGTGGCCGCCCGCCACCTCCGCACGTCCGTGTCCGCAATCCGTGTCCGCGATCCGAGTCCGCGCGTCTGCGTTCGTGAGTCCGCGTCCGCGAGCCGCGCCCGGGCGCCACGTCTGCGCGATGAGCGTCCGCCAACCTTGGCCGGCGTTGCAGCCGTATAGCTTTCATGAGTGCAAGATAGACCCAAAAGATTATAATCCTTACTAATACAGGGACACTCAAGAGCTACCCTGATTTTTTGAAAAGCCTCGCCTTTCTACTTTCCGCTGCCAAGGCGCACTTTGGACTTTTCAAGCGCACCAGGCCTTCGACAGCAAGACGTCCGTGGAGGTTGAAACTTAACTGAAGTTAAATGTCGAGGCCTTGGAGGTTGTGAGGCGCATGGAGTACCAAGCGGCTTAGACGATTTAGGATTGAGAGTTGAGGATTTAGGCTTTATAGGATTCAAGTCATGGTTTTCGGTCTCCAAGATGTCAATGTAGGCTGGCCCAGTAGCTTTGCGCACCCCGCCGCGTTTGATGTCAGTTCATGTGCTTAGAGGCCCTGCGGTGTCGGATCTTGTTTTGCCTCATAGCAATTCCATAATTTTTAGCCTTTACTACAAACTTGATAGAGCTCTGGGTCTTGAGGCTGGCAGGTCTCCGAGCATCAGGGATTGCAATCGAGTCGGGGCAATGTGGCCTCGGAGTAAAGCTAGAACTGGGGATGGCATTTCCAACTTCCCAGCACCACAGGAGTGCATGCTTGAACTGGCCAGAAGATGTTGCATCCAAAGCATGCAGGCAACGTTAGCAGCAGCACCTGCTTGGGTGCAGGGGGGATGAGTAGAAGGTCCTGTGCCTGGGATTTGAAGGCAGGTGCTGAATGTGTCACTCACCCTAGCCTTGCCCTGGAGTGGAGAGTTTCTACTCGTATGGTTTACTTGCGTGAATCCTCAACCCCCCAACGCATCCCAACAAAGCGAAAAGCCTTTACGCTCCCAAAATGCGGCGCCAGCATGGGTATTTCCAAAGATTAGGGTCCCTTTTCGAGGGCTCCGCATAACGAGGACTGTAGTAAGTTAGGGTTATTCCTCCTAGTGCTTGTTGTGGTAACTTTTATTGTAAACCCTTAAAGCTTTCAACGAAAAGCCCAGGACGAGCCCAGCGGCATGGTAAGGGTCTCAGATTGAGCGAGTCCGGGGGAAAAGCAATTTGAGGAAGGGCTATGTGGACCGCATAATTGGGGCTTAGGGTTTAGACCCCATATATGCTGGCCCACGAGTAAGAGACCATATGGGACCTGGGGAAGGCATTGGGGAAAATCCTTTGGGGAAGTCCATAGTCATTGGTCCCCTTGAAAGGGACTCCCGTAGGGATTCCTTAGATAATGATGTAATAATGGAACATCAAAATGAGAAACGGGGGAGGGGTTTGAGTTGTTTGTTCGCTTTGGAGTTTGCCCTGCCAGAATTGCACAGCATTGATGACACACTTCATTCATTCCAGCGTCGAGCAACGCGAGTGATAAAGACACATACGGACCTTCACACTGACGTTCCATTTCACAACCATGGCCGTGATATTATCGCCTTTGCATGTCCAGAGCCATTCTTCAATAGAATCATCTACAGCAACCATGAATGCAAGTTCCACTATCCATACTGGGATCAAATGGGGTTGGGGGAGTTTAAAACAGCTGTGAGAGCAGCAAAGGATTGGGGGAGTTTAGGGTTTAGCGCTTCCCAAAATCAGAGATACTTTTCTGGGGTCCCTACATGGATTGTAGTATTTGGGGTCTGTATTTGGAGTCTTCCTACGTAGGGAAACTTCCAAGTACCCCAGCTCAGGCTGTAGAAGGTACACCAACATCCCATATGCCCAGCACCTCTAAGTTCAGATTCCGAAGTTTCGTTTGCTGTCGCATTTCCCGAAGCATTTACACGGTCTGCGCCGAAGGGGAAGATGTTTTGCTCCCTGCGTTACACAACGCAATGGTGCAGCGTAAATACTAAGCCCTGAAGCTTGGCAGCATGATATGACTACAGTATAATATACCCCAAAAGGCCCCTACAGGCCACAATGCCTTCCAAGACCCCAAAACCTAAACCATAATCCCTACACCTGCACCCTTAAACCCGAACCTTACCCAGTTGTTTACATTTCATGTGCGCTCTTTTTCCATTGTCGGTGATAATTTACACCCTAAATCCTAAACCCCAGGTGAAGATGGTTTCCGGGCATCCTTTGCTCATCTGCTTCGTGGTTGCGGCCCGCAGGGCATGCAACAACTGATTCTTTCCATCTGCGTAGTTATTTAGGGTCGAGGGTTTTACGGTCTAGGAGTTCAGGGTTTAGGGCTTAGGATCAAAGAGCTGGAGCCAAGGGGCTTGTCGTTGGAACCTCAAGTTGGAACCTAGGATTTCTGGGGATCTTCTAGGCCCCATAGTAACCATGTATGCATGGCAACCCTAAACCAGAAACCTTGAATCATTACCAGTTGGTTTTGAACTTTTGAGTTCCGATTCTCGTCCCGTAAATCTACGTCGGGCAAGCCCAAACCATAAGGTTAAAGGTTAATATAATTGGTTTTACAACTATGAGAAAAGCAGGTGTTTCGCAACAAGCCTACCGAGGTTTTCATAGACTGCCGGGTTCAGGCCGTGGGAACTCTTGGTGGGGTCAGAGACCTTAATTCATGAATTCCAGAAGTCTTGACATTTCGTGCGCCAGCTTGACTTGCATACGCGCATTTCTTCCTGGCATCATGCAAGTCTCAAGGCACTCTGTACATCACTTTGGTTCAATCAAGGCGAAGCCAGCATTGCTTTGACCTTGCTTCAGCATTTGTACCTTTGAGTTCAGGATGTTTTGTTGAAGCTGCGGTTGCACAAAGAGTTCAGTTTGTTTGTGGTCTATAGTACTCCTCCGAAACGGCAAGATCCTTGCACAACCTTTTGGCCAGTGTAGCCCCCGACAAGAGGCAGAAAGATATCCACTGGTTTGCGCTGAGGCTATTGCCGAGGATGCTACAACAGCCTTCTGTGACTAGCGCCCACCAATATACAAGCATGGGACTCGGGGACGGAACCTTCGTGGTTTCCACATGCTCGCAGTAGCCAACTTACATCCTGACTGCCATGCTTTGTGACCGAGAGCCCTTGAGATGTAGTAGCCGTACGGAACAGACATAGGAAGGAAGCCCAACCCTGTGCAGCCTCAACTTCCTGCATAATGAGCCTTAGTTGAAACTTAGTTGGCTCTCAATACGCTTCATTAAGGGAGATGTTTGGGGGCTCGTGTAGTGAGGAACCCCTGATACCAAGGGGATTTCCAGAAATAGGGGGCCCCAATATGCCCCTGGGCAATATACCAGGTTCCTTATTGTAGGGACTGCCCAAGAAGTGACCTTTGATTTCGGGAGAACCTAAACTTCAACACTTAAACCTTGTACATTCCCCAGTATTCACCGCACACCCCCCTAGAGAATCCTGTTGAGGGACCTGTACTTTCCGCCAACCTCAAACAATACCCCCTAAACGTTATGTATGCCTATATATACCCACAAACACCTAGAGAATCGTTTAAAGGGATCTGTAATTTGCCCATATTATGGCTCTTTGAAAGGGACCCTGAATTTCCGAAAACCCCATCTAGTGAGATCATGGGCAGGCCCTCACCGGCGCCTTTGCGTGCACCGAAGTGAGCCAGGCCAAGCAAAATTGAAGTTTAGGGATTTGGGGTTCAGGATTTGGGGTCCCTTTATTGAAAGGTTGGTTCTTCTAGGGGTTATATGAGAATGTGATGGTTACCTATAATGGAACATCAGATGGAAAAGGAAATGGAAGTTCAGCTGAGACAGGAGTTCACAGGAAGAGTTACCAGCATCGAGGTCTCGGATTTTCAATCTACTGGTTGTCAGGAGGGAATGAAGGAATTGGAAAGAAAGCAGAAAATTCTAGAGGAGCTACTATAGGGATGCATTCCTCCTCCATTCCTACTAACATCCAGTCAGTCATGGTTCACAAGCTGTTGTTTGCCATTTGACACTCCATACAGATTCAGCATCCAGTAACGCCAAGACTTCAGATCCTTCTCTGAAGTCTTTGCTTGTTTCCGTTGGAGCCCACACCTTGTTTTGTGGAGAGAAGCCTTTTAACATGACTGGGAGCAGATAGAGATCTACTCCCACTGTACCAGGAACACCCTGCGTTTCCATGTTTTTGTCCATTAGTCCTTATAGCCTCAATATATACCCTAACCCCACTGGCACCAAGACATCAGCATGGCTGCAAGGAGTGCTCTTTGCTTTGGTTCTGTCAGCTCTCTGTGTCAATGGTTCAACACAACTCCGGTGGATACTAAAACATCCTGCATGACCCTAAGTACCTTATACCCTGGAAATCGTGGTATCATGTTGTGTTGAACTGAGGTCATGCAGAACTCTTAATGAGTGCCAACCGTAGAAAGAGCATCACCAAATTCCTCACCTGTTTTCTGGAGAGCTCTGCACCTTTGCAGGGTTGAAGATTCAGGGCCCTAGAGTTTCGGGTCTAGGGCAGCCCCTGATGAGCTCGCCCGAAACATAGAATCCTAAGCCTGTGTAGTAGTGAAGCACTGGTTTTGCCGCAGGAGTATCACCCCTAGCTTTGTTGAACGTGTTGGGATTATCGAAAGCCCCTCCAGTCTGTGATTCTTCCTATGCCCACCAGGGTTTGTTTTGGCTTCATGTGAGGGAGGAGTGTCGGACTCAAATCCCCCCTCCACTTCTGCGGAGGCCACTCCACAGGGCCCCCCAGAGAAGCGTGCGGACTACAACACTTTCCTGTACTTTGACGAGAGCAGATGGTTGTGAGGGAGTTGAAGTTCCCCTAGATTTTGGTAACCCCTGCTCCCAAACATTAGGACCCAGCAGAGTCCAGTGGTAGTCATATGGTCTAAGTTTGCGGAGTGGGATTACCAAAATCCTCTCATTTTTTTTTGGAGTTGGACTTTAGAACCTACCATCGTAACTAAACATCATATGTTCGGCAGTGTCTTCTGGAGGCGCAACTTTAAAGCGCGGGGTTACTTGCTGGCGGATAGGAGGGAATAAGAGAATATATAATCTGTATATAATCCCTGTATGACATATTCCCTTCTTCCCTACGAAGCCCCAGTCAGGTTAGTGTGTGAAGGTTTGAGGAAAATGGGGTTGGGGCTTGGGTTCAGAAGGGAAGTTGGGCTGTAGGATGGGACCTTGCCTCCTTTTGTTTGGCTGTTCTTGGCCCCTCTTTCTGGCAACTCTGCGTTTAGGTTTAGGGCTACAGGTTTAGGATTTAGGGTACAAAACAGGGGGCCCCTAGAAACCCAATGGATATAAGGCCTGCCATCCCGAAAAGGTTGCTTGTGTCTAGCAGCTAGCACCATAGGGGTTGTTCTCAAATTCGGCCATAAGTTACAGTATATGGTACGGCACCTAATATAACGGTCCATAATTTTGGGAACTACCCTTAATTACAAGGGACAGATGTGCAGAGTTGACTCAAATAGCCCAATAGCATACGCTTGCAATCCTTCCTAGTCCAAGTATTTCACGAGTTGTGAAATTGGGGTTTATCCATTGCTAGGGGGACGGTCAGCATTTGGTGGAGGGCATTGAGTAGGTCTTAACCGCCCTGAAACTCTCAGTAAGGTCCCGCCCACACCTGCCAACGCACCAAGCACCTTGAAGCAACGGCGCAAACGATAATGTAGAAGCCTGATAAGCTACGAGTCCTATTCGCACACACAACTCTTATATAACAGCGCACGGATACAAACCAGAATCGGCCCCAACATTGCTATCCCGACAAACCCATCATGAGCCGAGATTCCAGATAATCTTCCATGATTTTTCCATTTAATTCTCTGCTACTCTACCCATTTAGGCAGCCCTAATGCCTGAACCCTGAGGCCTGAACCTTAATCCCAAAACCCTACTCCCGAACTCTGAATCCTAGCCTCTTAGCCCATACTGTAGCTTTGTTCGAACTCGCAGATAACCCTAAACCCTTAACCCTAAATCCTGGACTCTGAACCCTAAACCCCAAACCTTACATATCCCTCATAACCCTCTTCAAGGTACCCTAAACGCAAAATCCAGGATGATCCAGAACATTCTGTGCTTTGCATCTGGCTTTGTCAACGTACGGCCTCCGGTCGGGAGTGACGTCTTGAAGTCAAAAGGTTCAGGTTAAGGGTTTGGGGTTTAGGGTGGGATCCAAAAGTTGGACCCACAATTGATATCAGTATGTGACCCCTATACAACTCATATGTAGGCAGTGTTGTCTTTTACAAGGTCTCCAAAACGCTAGGGTTCAACCCAAAGGTCGCACCCTAAACCTTTTGATCATGGAGTTTGCAAGGTAATTATGACCCAGTTCATATCTTGAGGGCATGGGGGTTGGGGTTATAACCCAAGTATACTCGTAGTTATCACCGAGTTATGATCACATGAGGGCAACTAGAGGACTCATAGTTGGGTTTTTTGTTGTTGAAGCTCCTAGTTCTGCTGGGGGATGGCTAACTCAGATAAGTGTAGGGTTTTTGGGTTTGGGTAGTGGAACTGCAGTAGAGTGTACCCCCAAACCCAATTGTCATTGAGCAGGCCCCTACCTTCTTCGGGTTTCTGAATTGTGGTTATAGGGGCTGTTCTACAGGCTCTTGTGAAGGAGCAACTATAAGGAAAAGACTTCCTTTTTCAAGGGGAATCCTACTCTACAGGGTAGCCTACCTTATAGCCATTTGGGGGACAGGGAATTTTTGAACGATTACCAAAGATGGGAACGTGGCAAAGGTATGGAATGGACTATGAAGGTTACAGGGTTTAGGGTTTTGGGCTTGCCCTACTACCCCCACCCTTTACTACACCCCCGAGGCTCGCCCTTCATTAGCTTGAATTATGCGGGACCCTGGAGGGGAGGAGGGGGTGGGGCAGCGAGGGAACCCATGAACTCTGAATGGAAACTACATTGAACCTGAACCTGCAAAAGCTTCATAGAGATTCCCCTATAAATTTAGGGTTCAGGGTTGAGGGGCATGCTGCCCTACATGAAGGGACCCCCCCTATATTATATCGAGTTTCATGAGTTAGTTGCGGCTTAATTGAGACTTGACCGTTCAGAGAACACGACAATCCGTTGAAACATGAGGCCTTGACCATCATTGACATGGGCATGACCGTCTCCCACCAGACTGGCAACACGAGCCACACAGGACCGAAAACTCTACCCCTAAACTCTCAACTGTAAGCCTAAAATCCTTAAAAAAACAAAAGTCCTAAACCCCTAAGCCCTAAACCCTTCTTGTGAATGGAGTCGACGCTATCATTCTTACCATCCGCCGGGTGGATGGAGGAAATCTTGCTACTTGGATTTCCTCCATCCCCTGCATCACTCCTGTTATGATTCTGATGGGCCCTGAAGGGTCCGCAACCTTGTAGACTTTTGGGTACTCTAGCTATCATGATTCTTGTTGTCTTCTTCGCGATCGTTCTGGCTATCCACAGGACGGCTCATCATGAACGGCGGAGCCAAGTTCTTTCACCTTATGGCAGCATTCGCGTGCGGAAGCTTCGTGGCAGGCCGGGCAGCCGGGGACCTTCAGGTGGAGATTTCCTGATATTCACATAAGGTTCATGTAGGGACTGTAGGGTTATATGGGGATTAATTATATGATCTGGTATTTGGGCTGATATAGCGCTTAGGAATCATGAAAGGGTTGTGGGGTTTGCATCATAAGGGGCTCAAATATAGACGCTGAAACCAACTTCCTTATTATAGGGGCCCCACCACAATGAAGAACAAGCTCACCGTGGATGGATAGAATGGTTCCCAATTGTCGGTGAGATGAGGCCAGTACCGCCAATCTGCCAATGATGTAGCACGGAAGAAGCAAATGTTCCCACCGGGCACAAACCAACCAGAAGACTGCTTCTACTTTCGCCCTAAGCCCTGAGCCCTAAACTCTAAGAAGCTCAGAGTCCTAAAACGGCGCTGCAAGAACAATATTCCGCGCTCAAACGCCCAAAACATGTCCATGGAATCCTTTTTTCTTTTACTTCTACTTGTACAACTAGGACGACGACGACGACGACGACGACGACAACAACAACAACTACTACTACTACTACTACTATTTCTACTACTACTACTACTACTACTACTACTACTACTTGCTGCACTACTTTGAACTACCCCCTATTCCCCTGGCCCTATGTTGCAAACCCGCCTCTCACCCCCGTGTAGACCAACAATGCAAGACAGTTGCTTGGGGTGGCTTCTTTATTGCGAGATTATCATTCTGTGCCCGGCGTTGATAGCATACTACAATGTGAGCATCCAGTATCAGGGGCTCAGAGATATTTGTTGGTTAAGGGGCTTCGTAGGACCATTATTTAACCAAAGCCTAACTGAAAGAAGGGCTCCCAGGCTATGGTGCTTGGTAGGGAAGGGGTGTTATATGGCTCCTAGTATTTAGAGCACCGCACAAAGGACCACAATCTTGATAACTTCATGAATCCGTTTTTGAGTAGGGCATTTTAGGTGGTTGAACCAATTAAAGCTCCCTTTTTAATGGAGCAGAAATTCTTCGGGGTGCGAAGCCCTGGCGTCCGATTGTATCCACGTGGCCCTGCTCTCAACTCTACACCCTCAACCCCAAACCCTGCAGCCTAAAAGCATTCAAACCTGAATCAGAAAAGACTAGACCCTTAACTTGGTGGTAAGACAAGGAATCATCATACGTCTTTATTTCTAGGGCTTTGGATTGTCAAAGCATATCAAAGCCTTTGTTTTGATTTGGGACCCTACATACATATGTAGTGCACTGTTCATTGTAGAGGGCTGCAAAAACCAAACCCATTACATTAATCATCTCATACTGATATTAGACAAGCCGCCCCACCCCATCATGCTAAATATTTCCCATGTGAAGCCCTTTTATGTGATTTTTGCGGCGGGGGGGGGGGGTGGTTAATATCAATATGACGTGATTTTAGCCATTAATGGCCAGCTTGGACAGTCCTTGCAGAGTGCTTCTGCACCGTACTCACTGGGCTTGGTTGGGTGGGTCCTATCAAGATTAAGGACAAGGAGTAAGTCCGAACATGGGGTCAGAATTTTCGCGCCTACCCAACGAACCCATTGGCTGGTCTTTTTTCCAGAGTTTGTCAGCAGCAGAGCCTTGGTTTGCGGACAATGGCTATCTCCCTGAATGTGTAACAGCTTTCATTTATTGCTCATGTAAAGAAATCTGGCTTGGGGCTTTTGTCTCGATGCTTCCATGTCGACTTGCAAGCGCCGAGTACTGCTATCTCAAACTAGACTTACATGTCCTCCTAACTCACAGTTAAGCCAGGCAGGTGTCTATCTAGCATGTGCTTGGCGTCTGTGATTCTATGATTTTTGAACATCAGGACAACGGAGTGAAAGCTTAGGCAAGTGTAGCCTAAACCCTGAAGACGGTAACCGGATAAGTCAAGAACCCCAGAAGCCAAAAGCCCTGCAACCCTGGGACCCTAAAGCCGAAGCACTTCCCAAATCCACGAACTTCCCTGTTTAAACCTTCATACTTGAGACTCCCAAGTCCACATATGTGGTATTGTACCTGGGGCTACTCCAGGGGGTCAACACGGGGGTAATGACGGTTCTACGTAAGGTTATACGGGGATATATGAGGATGCAAAGGGACATGTGTATATATATATATGACTTAAGGTATTTCGAATTTGCAGGCCCCCTATTCGCGGAAACCCCCAAAATTGGACAAGCCAGGCTACAGCAAGTCAGATGGTGAGGCGGTGTGACTCTATGCTGTTGGGAAGCCTTCTTTTTTTTTGAGTTTCAAAATATTGGTTGAGAGCCTAAAGAACAAAGACCCCCCATCCATATGATATTATCCCCATGTATTCCTAGGGTGCCTAAGGGCCCCCATTTTCGAAGACCGCCTTTCTGAGTAAGAGCAAGGGCCTGTCGTGAGTTTTCTTCCATCTGGTTAGTAATGGTTCTGGGGTTCGAGTTCAGAGATTGCGGTCTGGGGAACTTGGGCGAAAAAGGGGATTATGCATGTTACCTCTGGTGAGAAAGCGTGGCTTCGGTTTTGGGATTAAGGGTATGGAGATAACTGTAAGGATCCCTTCCTGCATTCCTTTCTAAGCATAGGCTGGAGTTTCCAAAAACCATTATGGGTTCAGATTGCGCAGCCGGGACAGGCCAGGTAGCTTTGACCATTTCAAAGGTCCCGCCGGAGCGCACAAGAACCCTATTCTCTTCATGTCACTGTATACTCCCAGTCTCTATGCGATTTCCCATGTGTTTCTCCAGTGTTACTTAGATCATCCACCCCTTAAAGCTGCGAAGCTTGCTGCTCTTGACCTGGGAATTTGTTTTCGTGACTTGCAGACCAATGCCCCTTGATTGAGACACATAGCCTACATGGAGCTAGGATCCCGCTATTTAGAATATATTCCCTGCATGAGGTTTTGGAGATGTCTGGGATTCATCAAACCTTGTGAACATGGGTCTTTCGCTTGAGCACCCAAGGAAGCAAACCACCTGAACCCTAAAGCCTTCAACCCTACCCCATATTAAACCCTAAGAATGCCCCTGAAACACCCCTAGACCCCCAAACCCAAGCCAAGGTACCAGGGCCGCTACTCCCCCAACCTGTTGGCTTCCGCTATGTGCGCAAATTGCCTTCACTTCTGGGTTTAGGGTTTAAAGCCTTAGGGCTCAGAATCTAGGGTCACTTGGCACCCCTCGCTCTGGGTCTTTGTGCCTTGTATGATTTGGTCATATACAGGCATTGTACATAGGATTTAGGGTTTGGGATGTAGGTTCGGGGTTTAGGGACACAGGCATGGTGGTTCGCCAAAATAGAGGGACCCCAACATAGACCTTACAACACTATAGTCCTTCTTATAGGGACCCCCAGAAAGGTATCCCTAATTCTCAGGAAACCCTTATTATGTACTGCAAACAAGAAAAGAATCCAAAGTTGTTTCCTAAACTGAGAGCCTGGAACTAACCAAATGCTTGGGAGTGGCTTGTTTTGAGGGAACCTCTTTTGCTCATGAGGCTCCCCTGGCCGGGGTTTAAAGATATTACCCCCAGCACTGGAATATCAGATGGTAAAGAAAGTGGAAGATTAAATGGAAGCTGGTCTTTCAGATTCAAACTTCTGCAGGTACTACACTTCCTTAATGATCTAAATGAAGTCCCAGACTCCAACTTTTGAAGGTAAACTTTTTGCAAAAAGCTAGATGAGTTCGCTTGAGGGATGGCCGTGGGGGTACGACGTTAAACTTCGATTCACGCACCAACCTCGATTCAAGCACTAGGATTCAAGCACCAAGGATTCAGGCACCAAGGATTCAAGCACCAACGATTCAAGCACCACCCAATTCACGCACCAACGATTCACGCACCAAAAAACGCCCGATTCAAGCACCAACAAAGGCCACCAACAAAGGCCGATTCAAGCAC